TCCATGAGTCCAATAATAAATTCAAAATCCAATCACACATGCACTACTCATAATGTATAGACATTTTTTGAGATTTGCGTGACATCCTTAACAATGTGTGTTTCACGCATCTAGAGTTATGTGCTTTCCTCAATTACTACTGCACCAAATAAACAACCAAATCTGAACTTAATTATCGGATATCTTTGTGGGCAAGTAATGGTATTTCCTATGGTTCCTTTGTAAGTTACAAATAACTAAACTGTATAGATTAAAAAGTTAGTTAAAACAAATTAAACGCAATAAAAATGTGAGAAATGTACACTACAAAAAAAAGAGCTGCCACTGAAAATGAATAAGAATCACTCAAAGTTTTAAGCCGCGACTTGTCATTATTGAGAAGTCATTGCCCCAGTAATTATCGCCAAGTAAATAATATCATTCTATAAGTATCTAATACTTCTCCAGTCCTTAATATAAAGCCTATTTAGCTAATTTGATTAGATTAAAGAAGTTTGGTAAGTTAGTTAATTATAAAAAATATAACATGTTTTTTTTTCTAAAACACTATAATCATCTTTCTTAATATCTTCCCTCCCACTTCTACTTGATTATGGTTGAGGGAGTATCTATTGGGGTAATTTAGAAAAAATTGATAAATATGATAAATAGGTCTTATATTTAGGACCAAAATCAACTTAATAATTAGGTTCCAAATTAAAGACCGGAGGAGTATCACCTCTTTCCAAATCAAGTGCAGACGGAGAGGGTTTCTCTCTAGAGAGCCGTGCTCTACGACCACCGTTCTCACATGACTTTTGTATTATTGTTCTTCTTTCTTTTAGTTGTGTTTCAGATAAATATCTAAAAAATCCGGTTTTTTTCTCCCTTTGCTCTTCATTCTCTCTACATATGTCCCCCCCCCCAGCTAGATACATGTGACTGTTCTTTGAGTTCAGGATGATGTTTCCGGACTGTGGGGGAAAACAAAGAATCTTTTGTCAACAACACTATCTTTTCATTAAGGTAAGTCGATAATAATTAACATTTTCCCCAATTTAATGAATGTTTATGCATTTGAATTTGATATATGTGAATATTCCTGTATTTAATGACTTTACTAGGTTCATGAATAGGATAAGATTAACATTGAATGGTTGATGAATGAGAAGATTAAATTGAATGATTCGTGAATAGGAGAAGATTAAAATTCAATGATTCGTGGTAAACCAAAAAAAAAATTGAATGATTCGTGAATAGCAGAAGATTAAAATTGAATGATTCATGAAAGTAATGATTAAATTCTTTGAATATTAAGAGGTCAGGAACATCCGCAAAATATGATAAAAATATCAAGCAACGTATCGCCATTTTATGAGGCTCTAATGCTCTATTATCCGTAGAAAATACTCTTATCTTTTCTTTTTCTTTTGTTTTTTTTGGCCATCGAAAACACTCTTATCTGACCTTAAAACATAAATAAGTAGTATGAAATCTGATCAACATCAATTATTAATTAACTATTTGGATTTCCCTTTTATATTGAAGTTCTCTTTGCTTTTAGAATCATCCCACTCTAAATCTGTAGAAGATGAACAAATTCGTCCTTATATTCAAACACAAGCAACACTGAAATTTCTTATTCCAAACTTGCGACTCCCAACCTAAGAAACCAGAAACATCAATGAGAAGATTTCCTTCAAGTGGGCTTTCATTGTCGTCCTCGTTAGCTTATCAGCCTATGAAGATAGTTTCACCATATTCTTTTTATTTTGTAATTAAATGTCTATTTATTTGAATATATATATGTGTATATATATCGCGTGAAGAAAAATTGACTGTAAAAAAGAAAAGTACGTACATTAGCGGCAATGCATAATACGCACATACAATTGGATTTGAAAAACCATAGGGCTTCAGATAATTTCATGAAGTCAATGCATGCGAATTAGAGATATCGAGTATTTTATTTGTTAGAAGAACAAGTTATATTTGTTATAATTCATGAATAAATTTAATAATAATGCATATTATGATTTGGATGAAAAATTGACATATAGCAGTGGCAGTGGCCGGGGAGGAAATGGAAGGATGATGAAAGAAGTTGGAATAGGAGGAATCAAATCAGGTTCACGCCAAGAATGTCAAGACAATTCAATAATGACTTTTACTGACAGTAATTTTGATGCTTTAAAAGAAATAATTAATCTTAACTAACTTTATTAATTTATGTAAAATTAATTATTAGGTACTTATAATAAGAATCAGAGTAATATATAAAGTTTACGTTTTAATTTTAACCAGCTCTGCCAACTTCTCACTACTACTCACCTCATCATATCTATCCGTTTTCATTTTTGTTTAGTATTTTTGCCATTTGATGAATATATATGTCATTTTACCTTGAAGGAGACTATATTAGGAGTCAAAAATATTAAAGATTAGTTTCACTTAATTAAAAGCTAGCTAGCATATGAGGCAGGGAATTTCACATGGTTAAATGAGTTCTAAGTTTGGGATTATTACTGGGGGCGAGTGCATTGTGATAAATAATTGTAGAAACCGCAGGAAGACTGCTTGAAGAAGCTTGAAAATTTTCGAAGCCTTTTCTAATTAATTGAAGACTATTCGAGAATACGGAAGACCAATTACGGGGGAAAAAGAAAGAAAGATTAAGGTGGCAAAAAAAAAAAAGACCACTTATAGGTTTTGTTATGAAAGTTAATTAGTCGAAGATGTACACTTATTTTTGCATTTATTAAATACCATTCTGCTGGCAAAACCAAAAAAAAAAAAAAGGCAAAGAGGCAATTTTGTCTCCAAAGTTTTTATTTGTATACATTGAAAGTAAGTTAATAAGGTTTTGTTGTCAAGACACAGTTTACTGTCATAAAGTTTGTCAACTCATGAATAAAAAGATGAATTTCATACAAATTTGAAATTTAAGCTTGAAGATCCACCATAAAGATCCCAACTTTTTAGAATCAAACTATTATTCACTCATTCACTCCTGAACGTTTGCCTCATTTTAGGGAGAGATTGGCTGAAAATAGGAGGTTATCTTCTTCCTTTGACGCTTTGATGAATAATAGTAGAGGCGGACACTGGTGGCTGCCGGCCGAATTCAAGGTTTCGCGGGGTAACACATCAATGTCGGATTTTGGCAACCCATTACTCTCTTCTGCACTCCCACTTCCACAAATTGGAACCATGAATATCAATGTGTGATGAGTATAAGCCTAAATGGAAAACTCAATCCCAAAAAATTAGCTTATTAGAAGAGAGGGTCTTTTAAACTTATAAACCCTACAACACTTGTCAAGCTCCTTAATGTGGGACTCATAAACAATGGCAATTTTGTTTACCGGAATGAGAGTGGGGAATACTATAGCAGGGGAAGATGACGGCACAAGCTGGACAAGGGGGAGTCGATTGCAGAATTATCACACAAAAAAAAAGATAAAATTGTACCCTAAAATATTTTAGGATGCTAAATGGACTTTAAAAAATGTTTTAGAATGTTGCATGCCCCTAACCAAAATATATACCTTTTATTCTTCTTTTTTTTTTTTGCTTAAGCATATGTATCCTCTTATTGGAGGCAATCCTATTCAAGACACTATCGGGCACTAAATGTGAGCACCTCTCCCAACAAGGATTCGAACATTAGTTTGTCATATTGTGAGGGACTAACCCCTTTCGTTAGACTCAATCCGTTGGTCCTTTTTATTCATTATGACTCTTAGCTTGAAAGTACTGGTAACTTTTTATTAAACTCGACAAATATTTGATTGAGCCCAAAATATATATATTTTGGAGAGCAACAGATGTAAAGAACAGAACTTCAATCGTCTGAGAAATAATACGAACAAATTAGACGAGGAATAATAAATGAATGGAAAGAAGAATGGTGAAACAAACATACAACTATAATTAAAAGTGTTATCACCCTCTTTATTGGGATGAACAAGAGAAAATAGGAAAAAATGAGCAAACTACAAATATTTCAATGACTGAAATACCTTTCAATCTAAAAAAATATTATGTTTAAAATCAAATTATATGCCATAATAAAAAAATCATATTAATATTAATATCATCCAATAGTTTAAAATCAAATTATTTAAAAAGGATATGTTACTTATTCCAAAAGAAAATTTTTATTTTTCAAGGTAAAAAAATTAAAACATAATAATTTTTTGAAAGGAGATATAATAAAAAGAAATAAATGAATTAATGCAAAATTTCATTATATTATCATGTAAGCAACTTAATTTCCATTCCTTCCAGTTTTTCAAATTCATTTCTCCCCTCGTTTTTCTCCTTAATTTTCTTTCTTTCCTTATTTTGTCTTCATCCAAACAAAAGGCTAGATGCTAATGTCTTTTCAAAGCTACAGGTGCGGAAATTAAGAGGGGTAATAGAAACCTAGCAAAATGAAATGTATGGATCCATAACTTCACCCATTTTAAGCATTAACGGGTATTATGAGATTTCAAAAATGCTAAATTGATAGAACCTTCGTTTACTTCCCAAGACCTATCGCCATAGTTTGACCTGTGAACGTTTTGAATCAAGTTAACTAGCACATATGAGCTTGTTTTACGTAAACTGAAACAGTATTCAACAGAATATTTCCTCTAACATGCTTATTACTTATATGTAAGGCGATCTTCCAACAATTATCTGAATTTGCCACCGATCGGCACATGCATATGTGTGTTTGAAAGTTAATTATTTGACTCCTTCAATTCAAATAACAGTTGCACTCCCTTGTGAGAGATTTTTGGGCGCATATCACTGAAAAAATAATCCACCGAAATCGAAGCCGTAAGACTCGCCAGCTTGTTGAGATCTTTCTATTGCACTTTATTATATATTTGGTAATTCATTTATTGTTAATATTACTTATTATTTTTCTGATATAAAAATCAGCTAATGAACGTGAAACAGAACAATCTAAAAAGAGATGTTAGCTCCCTTTGGGGCTCTCGCGAATCACTTGGCAGATACTGTTATAGCCATGGCTGGTTCAACGACAATTCCCACTCACCGACGGAGGCACCGCCGCCACCTCCATCTTAACCTTACATCCGAGCATAATTCAAACTCACATCCTGACTCGCCTCGACGTCTCTGCGCTTGCATCGGTTGCCACCACATGCTCCCAACTCCACGCCATCGTCTCCCAGGAAGATTTCTGGGCCAACCTCTGTCACTCTACGTGGCCTTCCACCAGTTCTCCAAGCATCCGCCACGTCATCCGCCGCTTCCCTCACGGTTCCCGCTCTTTCTTCCACGATTCTGCCACTATTCCCCGCCCGAACACCACCATTCCTCGAAACTCGCACATAAATCTCGACCGCACACCGCAGCTGATCTCCGCCGTTGACCTTTATCACCGCCGTCAACTTTTACTTTCCAGAGTGGTACAGACCGAAACAGTCTCTGATTCGTTCAGGTGCTCGCCCTTCCGGGTGGACATACTTGAACCAGAAGAGGTGGTTCAAACACATATAAGATATCCGGAGAGTGACGAAGCTTATCGAGAGCTAATGAGGGGCCTGAGGATGAGCTGGATATTAATAGACGCCAGTGGAGGGCGGGCGATGACCGTTTCGAGCCGGACGCCAATAGGTCTACTACAGTCCTGGCAGAGCGGGACGGCAGAGTTCTGGTTCATGTCGGTGATGACCAGCAATGAAGAACCTTTGTCGAAGCTCAAGGTGTGCAGGTTGACGGTGAGGTGCGTGGAGGCGGTGGGTGGGGAAACGGAGGTGAGGGAGGTGAGTTTGGAGATGGAAGGGATAGATGGGAGGACAAAATTGATGGGAGGGAGAGTTTGGTAATTTTACAGAGACTGTTGGAGGGTAAAAGGGAAAGTAAGAAACAAGCGAGGGAGAGATGCGAGAGGAAAGATCTAGAGACGAGGAGGAGAAGGGAAAGGCTAGATATGATCCGCAAGAGCCTCGCCATGCTGTCGTTTGTGGGACTTCTATATGTGTTTGTAGTGAGAAGACCTGGAGCTCTGGTGGGGATGATGCGAAAGGTTCAGAATCAAAAATAGTGGTATTTGCTAGTAACACTCAATCAATACAGATTGATCCAAAATCTAACTCAAATCCAATATTTTACCTTTACTTTTTAATATAAAAATTTGTTTAATATTTAATTTAGTTTTAAATATAAAATCTTAATTTATTTTATCTCTGATATTTATTTATTTTTTTAAAAATAATCCTGGTCGTACATGTTAAATATTCTATCAAGTAAGAGTAAAATACACTAACATCCCTTGCATTTTGTCTTAATTACACAGACATCCCCTCTATTTTGAAAATATACACTTAAATCCAAACTGTTAACTCCATTAGGAATATTTCAAAAAATATTTTTTTAATTCAAATTTATATTGAAATACTTTCTATTTGCTAAATTACCCTCCATAATACTAAATCCCAAAATCTTGATTAAAACTATATCGAAAAATTTAACATTTTTCCTTTTTCTTAATTTTATTTCTTTATTTTTGAAAATTGTTGTTTGTTTAATGTTTTTATCATATTGGGCCAAAAAATTAAGTAATTCAGTTAATGGAAACATAAATTTAAATGATTTATATAAGTTTCCAAACTCACATAATTTATATTACTACCTTCGGTCCTTAATATAAGACCTTATTTGACTTTTATTTTGATCCTAAATATAAGGCCCCAATCTACTTTGTTTCTCATATTTATACATTTTTTTTCTAAGATAGTCCTTTTAACAATGGTAGTTATAACTAATATACTTAATTAACAAGGATATTTTAGGAAAGATAATATATATTTATTACAAATAACTAACTTAACTTCTTTCCGTAATCTCCTTAAATTAGTCAACTAGCTATAATTAAGACCGGAGGTAGTATATGACAAGAAAATAAGCATTCAAAATATTTTCTAGCCGTTTAAAAAAAAATCTTAAGTTTTATTATTTCATGAGGAACTAAATTTATATAATTCTACAATATAATTGAAATTAAAAATTTTATAACATATTAAAAATTTTGAAAATACATGTATTATAATTATTTTTTGTTGTATCAAAAAAATTTTTTATTTAAATGTTTAAATAACATTTATGTTAAAGACGGATATTGGTCAACATAAAAATTTAAAAGTCAAACATAACGGTTAACTAACAGTTGGATGGATGGAAATTAAATCTTAAAAGTATAAGAGAGGTTTGTGTAATATACATTTTAATCTGAAGAGAAGTTTATATACGTTTTCAAAATAGAAGGAAGGTTTCTGTAATTTAAATAAAATAGAAAGGTGGTTAATGTATTTTACATTTTTACTCATCAAATAATAGTTCTAACTAATACACATAATTAGTAATATTAATAAGTTTATTTTAGAAAAAATAATATATATTTATTACAGATAAGTAATTTAATAAACATTCTTAATTTACTCAAATTACTCAACTAGTTTTTAGATTAGGCATCATACTGAAGGTAGTAGCACCTAAAGATACTGAAAATCAAACTGCTAATCCATTGGGTTAGAGAAAGAAGACCGAAAAAGGAGAAGCCAGCGTTCCGATCAATAATTTCTGATATTGGGATAATCCGTTGTGTCTTTACGAATTTCAATATTTGCTGTGAGGTTATGTGGCGAAGATAATTTGTTGAATGGAAATTTGGAGATACCCAATCCAAATGACTAGCGCATTAGGAGGGAAAGAATCCTTAAATTTGTAAACCCCATAACACTTATAAGATTCTTTAATGTGGGACTCATAATAGTGCACCCCTCTTTAGAGCTGATGTTTCCAGCCAATCCACTCTACGGCACTTCACTCCCTGGTTAGAACCCTCTGTAGGTAGTCCTTTCCAGTTGACTAACTCTCAATAAAAACACCAATGTGATAAATATAAGTATAACAGGAGAGTCCAATCTCAAAAAATTAGCCTATTATAAACCCCACAACACTTTACAGACGACACATGGGAGTTTGGCTTAGCAAGAATGGTGGAAGAGACTATTATAACAAGGAAATGACGAATGTAAAACGCACAATGAAGCTTGCGCAAGAGGGCGAAAACGATGAAAGTGCAAAGGGAATACATGGACCATGAGCTGCAGCGCAAATCTTGGTCAACTTCAGCGGCATCTTCAAAGTTTTTGTACAGAAGGACTAACCTAATAATAAGAAAATAATAAGAATTGAATAAAAAGAAAAAAAAAATAGGGACCTAATTCAAAACTTGATGAAACTATAAAGACTTCCAGATTAATTTTTCTGTTAAAATAATATAATTTAAATAAAATATTTATATTTAATTATGAATATATTAAACTTTCTTTAATTATCTAGTAATTAGTATTCGGCAAAAAATTATTAGTAATAAATCATGTTTTATATTTTTTATTCTCTTCTATTAGTCTTTTTGCGATAAATTGTTGTTAATTAGACCTATTTAGATTTTATTTTTTTATCAGACCATTTATGTTTTATGCGTATCAACTAGGGTTCAGGTCATACGTTAAAATTTGATCATACTTGTCGAGAGCAAGCAATTGAAGTAAAAGAGAGTGTAGGAAAAAGAGATGATACTAAATCAAAATATAAAACATAGGTGAACATAACTACTTAATTAGTATCTATATCTATAATTAGTATATAAAATATCAATCAAATAATTATTGTCGAAACAGCTTGGCATGTAAAATCTAATTCCAACTACAATTTGTTCTTCAAAATAATAATAATATTCAAATGACATATTTTTCAAAAGCAAGCTGGTGCCATACTTAAATCATTACTACTCAACCAACCCTAAAAACAACAAGAATAGTCATATGAGTGGGGAAAAAATTTGGAAATGAGTACACAAATTGTAATTGAAAAATGAATTCACATTAATAATTAAAAGAACCACGTATGGTTCACCAAAAAAAAAAAAAGGAACCACATATGAGAGTCTCAAAACCTAAAATTAGGACATCATAAAAACATTAAAAACCCTACTCCCACCTCTTCTAGCTCAGATTATGGGATTCAAACCACAACAGCTTTCTTCCAAAACAAAGGAGACTAGCCATTCATGTGGTCAGAATACATGAGAGAAATTGACGACTAGTGAGAAAGTGGATGCTTTTGATGTGTGCTGCGCGGTGAGTGAGTGAAGAAATGAGTGACCATAGAAAGAGATTTTACATTGAAGATTATGATATGATGGTATCCGTCCAAGAGAAGAAAGTTTCATATAAAGTCTCTAATGTGATCTAAAGCCCTCTCTAAGTTAGAAAATTTTACTGATGAGGCAATACTCTTACAAATCTATCTCTCCTCCCATGCACGCATTGACCACCTCTGGCTTTCTTCTTCCTGTTCAAAGCTCCCAGTAGAAGTAAAGACAATTTTGAAGGCGAACATCATCAATGAGGGAAAGAATAATGACAACGTTAGAGATCTAAGTTGAAGCCATTCTTTATCTTTTAGTATTCTCTCTGCTGGTCTTGTTTCTTCCTTATGAGAGTTCTCTCTCATAAATAAAAATGGCCACATGTATTACCAGTTGGAATAAATTTTATTATCACACTCTCCACCTCATCAGCTAATCTTTTCTCTTTCTCTCATTCAATCTTTTCTCATGGAAGATCCTAAACATAGAGCATCCAAATCAAAGTAGACCAAGATTGAATCTTATACTGGACTTGCTCACGAATCCCTTCATCTTAGCTTCGATTCGTGCTTCCTAATCCATTCAATTCAACTGTAGAGGAAATCCATTTCTCTTGTCTGCAAACACCATTGTGAAAATACTAAATAAAAAAGAAGGGAAAATAATCCATCACTAAAGCTTATCTTCTTTCATAGAACATAAAGAAAACCCATCTCATTTGGGCATCCTTACAATGAGATGTCACAAACACCAAGTCCTGCTTCTGCCTACAAAAATTAAGAATTTCGGGCTTCAAAACGTAAATTACAAATTTTCATTGACTTCTTCTTGCGAGGGTTTGGCTATAACATCATCTGTTAGCTAGGAATGAGGAGAAATCACCAGACACATCTTAACTCAAAACCTTAAGATTTATGAGTAATTCCACTTCATTATATATACCTTGTTCTACAAGAATGTTTCAAAAAGAGAGTCAGTCGTCTGACGAGAAATCAAAGAAAAACCACTTTGATTGAGGAGGTATTTGGGTAGAAACTAAATTATAGTTTTAAAAGTAATTTTATGGTATATGAACTAAATATGTAAGAGATTTATCTAGATTTATGAAAAAATACTTTTTAAAAATACTTTTGGAGTGTTCCAAATGCTCCCTGAGATTACATTTTACACCACTCAGTTTCAGAACCTTGATTCTCTTCCTTCTTTTAATTTGTGACCAATTAATTATTAAACCCAACTTTTTTCCAATGTCAAGCATTTCATGTCAACTCAATCCTATCCACAGTTAATTAACTTCCTAACACAAATATATGGAGGAATGATAACCAAGAACCTTGTAAGAAACTTAATTTAAATAATGAGGATTTATAACTAAAATTTTTAAATTTACAACTCAAATTAAACTTTTATATTTACAACATAAAAATTTTTATTTTACATTAATCTAATTGTCATTATGCATCAATTCTATATGCACATACATGCATGATGTTTGTTGATAATTGATATTTTTAATGTTACACCTCGTGCTTTTATTGGTAGTTTTCCTATAAATGTAAAGATAGTTCCCACAAAAATTTTCAAAGAATATTTTTTTGCTAAGTACAAGTATATTCCCATTAGAGGTAACATATTGTCGGATACTAAGAGTGTGTTTGGTTGGAAGAAAAG